CACTTAATATTAGCAGGTTAAACTTGTGCCAGCCTGGAAGGAACATTACAATCACACAGCTGAGCCCCAGGCCTTGTCTCACGACTTCCATCCACCTCCCTTTGCCAGTGCAGCACCAACAGCAAAGCAGGACAGCACCCAATTTGAGGTGGAATAGCAGTACCGAGACTTGGTATAAACCAAGAGGTGAAACAACTCTACGTAGGCTGGCATAACGTGTACATATTCGCTTCTGTTACAACCCACGTTGTCCAAAGACCCACGTTGTTGCCGAGATGAAAGTTCAAATGAACTCAAAGCAAAAATAAATAAATTAAAAAAAAAGTCAGTCGCTGCTTTACAATTCAAGTTCACGTGAAGAAACCAACCTGTGAATGCAAAATTAGATCAGCCCAGATTCACAACCAGATTTTGTACATAAACAGATCAAGCTTGTTCAATCCTGCAATCTTATATTGGTCCCATTTTCAGTATTTTTCTAGTTTTGCCATGTTCTTCCTAAACTGCAGACCCAGGAGTGCAGTATTTTAGATGTGTTACAATCACACGCATACTGTAGCGTTCCCCTTGTATTTTCTGTTTTCTCTCCCCGTACGTGCAGGGATACATGCTTGCAGATACGACATTTGGAATGGCTCTACCTACTGTCAAGGCTTTACATCACAACTGTTTCCAGTAGTTTATAGCGTTGCCAGACTACAACTGTTCCACCTGTATTTTCCATGCCAAGAGTCTGTCTCACATTGAAGTCTTTGGATTTGCAAAAACCAAATCAGCTACTTTCAAGAACAAGAATAGGGAACAATATACTACTTTAAGCATAAAAACATTGATAACTGCAACCTCAGAGGAGGGTTTGACAGGCAGGCAGGAGAGGAACCAGTAGGCCACAGCCAAACAAAATAGAGAAAGCAAGTACTGCATAACTACTGTACTGCATACACAATGCAAATTCTTCCCCAAGGAATTATGTCAAAACAAGGTTAAATTTGTCATCGGGACTAATACTTTCATTTAATTTATTTTTATAAATCAATCTGCATAGTGTAAGCTGGCATCCTTCACGTTTCAATTTTGCTTACAGTAATAAAACTAACTCTGCAAATCATCCCCAGCTATTAGTTATTTTTATATCTAAGAGCACCAAGTGATAGAAGCTTGGCAGGACAGATCTGACTAAGAGAGAGAAAAATTGTTCTACTTCCCAAACACACCAGAACAAGACCATGCTCCACAGCCTGATTTTAAAGCAGTAGGATGAAAGTGACTCAGCCTACGTTAAAATTAGAGGTATGATGAGATTGAGACTGCAAGGTAAGTACTGAATTAAATACATTTTTACTTGACTTAAAGAAGCTTTTTTGTTAATGCCTAGTAAAGGAAATACTGGAAATCTAGCAGCTTTAAAAGTCTGTGAAACAGTCAAACCTATGAGGAGGTATTTTATGGAACTGTAAGTGCCACCTGCCATCATTGCCACTGTAGGAAAGCCAAAGCTGAGAGAGCACAGGAGCTGCACCGGGCAGGGACGGCACCACGGGCCTTGCTCCCTGCAACACTGCAGTCAGGCACCCCCAGCATCCCTGCACACATGGCACGAGCTGCCAGCGTGGGAGGAGAGGCAAGGCCAGGATGAAACAGAACAGGGACTGCACCACACCACACGCATGCCTGTCGGCAGCCGTGTCCCAGCAGCGAGGGCTCCTGCTGACAACCTCCACAGCTGCCTCTGGCTCCTCCAGACCTCCATTTACCAGGATCCTCCTGGTGGTTCCCCCAAGCTGACCTCTTCCCCCCAGGTGCCGGGAAGCCACTGCAGCCCCAGCACCTGCTCCCCCAGTGCAGGAGGGAGATGCTGCAGACAGGCAAGCGCTCACCTCCCTGCTTTTTGTAGAAAGCAATAACCCAAAATGCGTGGCACCATCACTCACCAACAAAAGCTTTTCTGAAATCCAATACCAACACAACTTACACAGCTGTAAGTCATTCAGCTCAGAGTAACTGACAAATTTTTCTGTATTTTCTATTGCTTCTCTTTGTGCTCAGAGACAGAAGCGCAGTGTTTCTGGAGCCTTTTGTAATGAATACTTACTTGACCTCACCCCATATATATATACACACACACACACACTTTTAATATATATTAAAAAAAAAAAAAAATCCCTCCAACATCTTGAATGCTAGATGAAAAAAAAAAAAAATGTTAACTGGAAGAGTTCACTAGGCCAAATGACCAAACTAAGATACTCCCATTCCCCTCCTTCCAGATACACCACTCACAGCCAGAAGGAATACATCACAGCTCAGCATTTCTACCTGCTGCCTCCCCAGGCTTCTCCTTTCTCTTATAGGAAATCCTCCAGCTGGCCTGTTTTGTTCTGTAGTGCATTTTAAATTCAGCTTCTTCGCATCAATTGAATTCAGGTGCATGCAGGCATTTGCTACCTGCATGTGGGTGTTGCTCCTGGTGAGATTTCCTTGCTTTCTTCATTGCCTATGTTTCCTTCTAACAAATCCCTAACGAGCAAATTAGAAGCAAAAGCAAACAGAGTAATTCTTTCAATTATTTTCTGCCTTTCTGCAATATATATACACACACACATTCTTTAAAGAAATGTGAGAAACCAACTGCCACCAAAGGACTCTGCGTCTCCCAACATGAATTAACAAAGTCCTGCCTAAATTAATGTTGAATGGTTTGCACAAATAACTGTTGCAGTTTTCTCCCTAATAGGAGGACACAGGACAATACTGTAATAAATTACCATTCCATCCATACAGTCAGTGCTGGCTGTCTCCCTGCACCTCTAGTACAAGCCCAGAGAGTCACTGAGCTGCTAGTGAGCAGCACTGGCACTGTACTCTGGAGGTCAGGATGACAGGCAGAGCCTGGGTGACCAGCTTTTTAGGCATGGGTCATTTTTACTAACCCAGTACTGAATGACTGTGGTGCCTAAGCGAGGATGAGAAACCACAGGCCACCAGCATTTTGATGCTAACAATTTAAAAAAATCAGCAAGACTAAATCACAAAGAATCTGTTACTGACCGGACAATACAGAGTCTTGTTTATCTGGATGGACATGCGTGAAATAAAGGTACCACTATAAAACTAATTTGCACCAGCCGCTTGTGAACTGTGTTCCAGTCTGAATATGCTCTGCTTCAACAATGACGGCAGTTCATCTCACACTGTATGGCCCATTATGACAACAGGGGATCTAGCTTTGCTCCATCTGGAGCACTGGAATTTTTTATTTCCCCAAACCTTTATGCTTAAAAGCAAAATTATTTACAAATCAGTGTCATAAAATACCATGGGCCAAATTTTACCCTAGACATTAATTCTGTGGAGACTTAAGCAAATGCACATTGTGTCTTTCTAAAGTTTTCCTGGGAAGGGTCATGTCCATAATGGGCACTAGGCTCTCAGAGATAAGGGGATGTAGTACATGAAACCAGGTGTCATGCTGTATACCGTGGCCTGGGATGCTTGTGGAAGGGGACACTTGGGTTTGAGCCACTACTGATGTGCAGTTCAGTATCACTTAAAATGTCTGAGCCTTGTGTAACAAAAGAGAAGGGGGCAGAACTTCTTGTAAAATGCTTGGCTGAAAGCATTGCTCGTAGGAAAAATAATAATGGGGTAGAATTTGATAGATTGAGAGACAAAAGGAATTTTCAGAAAGGAGGAAATTCTCCATTCCTTGGCTGGATACTATGTTCCCATTTTTCTGCAGGAAAGTGCTTTTTGTGTTTGATAAGGGAACATTTTATGTATTGCTTTCTGTCCATCATCTACTGGAGATCAAACTCCATCATTAGTCCTTGCACTGAGTAATACTTTGCTTTACTGAAATGCATACGTTTGTGCAGTAAAGTACTGTGATGTTTAAATAACGTACATGGGATATTACCACTGTGACAGCCCGGTGTTTGAAAGGGGTGCTCTCCCCATGGCCCGGGAGGGACATTAGAGACCTGACAGTAATGGGGTGTGCAGAGCTGTAATAACTGCTGGCACCATGCGGTGTGAGATGGCCTAAAGCCGCCAGCCCTGCCAGCGCCCGGGCACTCCTGCCACCATCTGCACCCAGGATTTCTGACTTAGCAGAGTGATACAAAAAATACTGAAAACACAACACAAATGTGAGTTAGCAATTGCAATACACAGTTCGGTCACCATACCAGTGTGATTCCCATTACCGGTCTCCATAATGTGCTCACCGCCATGACACTGGGCATCCCCGGTCGCCAGGAGGGAATATGTGGGTTGATGCCAGCTCAAGCCCATTGCTCTCTTTGAAATTCCTCTGCTAGTTGTTTAGATGTTTTACTCTAGGTTGGGCTGAGCCACTTAATCCCTCCCCATGCCAGTGTGGCTAACTCAGGGACACATTCACACCCCCAGTTGATCCACTCAGCTGTTGATAGCTGGTTATGTAAACCAAAGGCCACCCTCCGGTCCCCTTCACGATGAGATAATGTCAGCTTCTTTGCATTACTCTCTGAGCGTCGTGTCACCCTTGTCCATCTCCACTGAGCGCTCTTCCCCTGTGGGGTTTATTCAGAGAGCCACCATCCACCCCATGAGGCTTATTCAGTCACATGCTTTCTAGAAAACCTGTCTGTTGCATCAACCTGTCGAAGGGGGAGGCTACAAATTGGGAACAACCTGCAGGGTGCGCGGCATGGCCTCTCCCAAAGGGATGCTTCTGTAAATGCCAGGTGTGATTTTGTGGCAAAGCTTTACACCCTGACCCCTCATCCTCCACAAGGCTAAAGGAGGCTGTGTTCTTGGCAGTCCCTGTATTCACCTTCTGTGCGGTAGTGTGGAGGTATGACTCTCCCCTTGGTCATGCAGAGCCTGGCTGGAGCTGCATGACTCAACAAAAGGGCTGGTGGGTCACCCAGGAGTCACGCGAGGAGCTTCTGACCCTCCCGTCTCTTGCGCCCAGCCCTTCCACCCGCCTCCACTGTGAGAAGTGCAGGACTGCTTACCCAGCAAGGCACCCACGGGTCTGCATCTCACCACTTCGGTCTCCCAGCAAGGCAACGGCAGTTCCTCCAGAAAAGTCTCAGGGAGAAAGAAAATGCAGTTCAATTACTTGATGTGACCTATTCAGATACGCTGAATTTTGAGGGGCAAAGCCTGTCGGGTTCTGTTCATCCAGCCAGTCCTTGCTTTCACAAGGCCGTGCGGGGACTGCAAGAAAGCATTGATTATGCATGTTTCATAGCAAGCTACTGTTAAGAGGGTGAATAGGAAAACCAAACCCTAGGAGGCCGGCTGCTGGTACAGCTGGAGGGGGTGAATCACTCTTGTTTCAGAAGCAGTATCCTTAGCCTGAAGCTAAAAGAAGCAAAACAGGGAGTAAGGTAGGGCACTTGCTCAGAAGAATATCCTCAGCTGGTTTTTTTGTTTTGTTTTGTTGTGGGTTTTTTTGATGCTTGACAGCTATTACTGCTAAATAGCAGAACCTGTGACAATACAGAGAATGTAATTGTTTTGCTCTGAGAATACGGGGCAGCATTTTCACCAAACAAGAATGGACGTGTTGGGTTGTTTTAATTCCTGGCATAGCTGGGCATGTCTTATCTCCGGCTCAAAAAAATGGAAATGCATAATGAAGACAGCCAGTTGTCTTGTTAGGTAACTACACACAACTTTCACCACAGGATAGGAATTGTTGGCAAGATGTGGTATCAGTACAGAGAAACTTAGTATTGCCAGCTGAATAGATCTGTCACATTTCTTTCTGCAAATGTTATGTCTACTACTACTACAAATAGCACAGCTGAGTGATAAAACTTAAAAAATGTGAAAAAATATTTTCTCTATTTTCAAGTCTGTTTGCCTTGTGAATCTGACAGCATTTTGTTTTGTCAAAGTCATGTTTCAGGCCCACGGGGCCAGCACTTCTCTGACCTTTACACCCATGCTCATCATTAACAGCAGCAGAGCTTGAACAGACTTTGCAGCAACTCATACAGGACAGAGAAGGCAGTCTTCTTAGGTATCTTTAAACTAGAAGGAAATAGGAATAAGATAATCTTATACAAGAATATTACCCTTAAAACACTGGAACATGCTCTTTAATGTCTGCTGGCTAAGGCCTAGCCCTACAGAGATAGAAAGAATTTCACATTGCCAGAACCTTCCTTCCACGAATAGTCACACTGATTTCATGTACTTCTTTAGGATCAGGTCTTAGATGACACTATTTTTAACTACATGAAGAACAAGCAAGTCTAAAACACCTTAACTCTCCAGCTCAGTCTATATATATTTTAAAGCCATTCTAATATGCACATAATTAATGTGTATATTACTCAGCAAAGAGTAAACAGCAAGTGCTGCAGTAAGTCTCATGTCACTAATTTCATTACTGTACAGAAATATGCTACTGTAAATTAACTACTACATTATGGTGTGTTATAAATAATTAAAACTAAAACTGCAATTGACAAAATGAATGAAGCAAGAACATTCTGTAACCCAGTGTTCTTAATAATTTCCTAATTTGAGTAAAACACTAAATCTGAGTCTGTTTAAGCACAGGAAGGAATTCATTAGTATCATTTATTAATTTGGAAAGCACCTCGGTCACAAAAAAATTAAAACATGTTAAAACCTACACATAAGCCACTCTCAGATAAAACATCAATCTGCATGCCATACAAAATAAACAGGTCCTTTGTCATCTTTCATAGGTCTCCGAGGTGAAGCCAAAGGGAGCATATCACAGCAGTGGTGACCCACCCAGGACAAAGCTCTGCTGCTGACTGTGGGACATCAAGGCCTAAGAAAGAACCCATCCTACCTGGTATCAGAGGACGACGGAAAGAGATGGGCTTCTCCAGTCATCCAGTTGACACCACTTGATGCTCAAGCAGGTGAACAAGAACTATGTGTTTCTCATCAGCCAGGGTCTTCCACAGCAATATGTGCTTTACAGCATTGCAGGCAAGACTGATAGCTGAGTGCGGGGCACAGAGTCAGGAAGAATAGGTTCTGCTTTGGCATGTGAATTTAAAGCAGTTCAGCTTTTGAGACCTAGAGATGAGAAGAGACAGATAGGTGAACAGTGTATGAGTAATATCACTGTATCTTTTAGAGGGATTTTTAAGGCAGACCAAAGATGCTTTTATGCAACTTCTTAGAACTCTGCTTGCTCCATTACTTCAATCAATAGCAAGTGTCAAATTGTTTTTGCAGAGGTTTTCTGGTTTATTTATTTTTATTCTTTAGTTTCACTGAAATAGCAGGTCTCTTTTTTTAGATAGACTTAAAAGGGGCTGACAAAAGCTGCTGCTTCATTATCTCCAGGTGAATTCTGTAGAATAGCAGAATAGCTTCTTCTCTCCTCTCAGCTTCCTGCTGTCTTCTCTGAAGTGCCACAGAGCTTTCCACCTGCCTTTTTTTTTTCTTTTTAATTTGTTGGTCTTTACTTACAGGACAAAAAGCTTTATCAATTAATCTACTGTATATGCTGTCTGCGCTAGCCCTGACCTTCATCAGAATGGAGGACAATCCCTACTGACAAGTTAGGGCCAGATCCTGCACTGCTTCCTTGCAGTGCAGCACCATGGAGGTGACTCATTGCCCACCTTCCCCCTCCAAAGCAGCAGGTGGGATGCTGAGGGATGAAGTCCCCAGGATGAACCTTCATGGGGAACCCATTCCCCATGTGGAGAGGGCCCTGACTCTGTTTCTGTAGCCTCCAGGAAGGGGGTTCCTACATCTCCGGAGTCCACCACGGCATGGAAGGTTCCTTATTGGTGCTGGCTTAGGTGGGTCCACAGGCATCCCTGGGCTGCTGGCTGGATGGTAGACTGCACCCACCTCCCCATCACTGTAAAAGGGGAGAGGCAGAAGGGAAAAGCTTTAAATATCTGCATAACCATGACTTGTACAGTTACATTGGAGCAGATGGAAATCATAAGGGACAGGAATCCTCTTGCTTCAGTGTAAGGCAGCTTCTACCTGGCAGAGTGGGGGCATGAACAGCAAGTGAGAATGGCCCAGGGGAAAAGCTCATTTGTAACTGCCCTGTGACGGTGGGAAAAAGGATCCTCCACCCATCTGCTACTGCCTACACTCGCTACGGCACCCTTACTTGGAGGCTGAGCAAGGGATCTAACAGCCTGTTCTGGTACAAGACACCCCACAGGCTACCCCAGGGAGTCTCTGGACCATATGAGGAGATTCGTCAGGCACTGGGTGATGCTGGGAGAGAACAGGATGCTCCTGCAGGGATGCACTTCCCTAGGAGATCCTGACTTCTGGACAAAGCCTTGTAGCTGAGAGCAGAAGCCTGTAATACCATCCTGCCATGGATGAGGACACTGGTGGGTCTGCACTGGGTAAAAGCAAGGACAGTTTATAATTCTCACTTTTTTATAATAATGACGGATTAATCCTGTCTTTGCTGATCCACCAGGACAGAATAGCTGACATAAGACTCCTCCAAGGTGCAATGGGTGCTCACAGCTGTATAAGCCAGAGATTGTTAAGCACACAGTTAACTCCCACAGACCGACTATTTCCTTCTCTTTTTATAACCATTTCTTTAGGCAAGTCTCTCCTGGTATTTTAAAAATTCATTTTAATCAATTTAAAATTAATAAAGAAACAGTGAAATCCTTAGGGCCTGAAAGCTCCAATCTCTGCTACACTGGAAGTGATGAGTCAGCTCCAGCACGGCCTGCCATGGAGCCTGCTGAGGGACGCCTCCGACAAGCTGCTGCTGCGCTGAATTAGGTCACTTGGTTTGCTATTTACAGAGAGGCAACCGTCTCTGCAATTGGATGTTTCCTTCTTTCTCACGTGAAAGAGCTGCTGTACTCCAAGGGCACAACCGCCGGTGACACCTCGCTGTCACCACAGATGCTGTGGCTCTGTCCTGTGCATTTACCAGGCAGGAGCATGACTGAGCCTCTCCGAGAGGAGCGAAAGGACTGTGGCCGCCAGCAGCAGGACACGGTGACACGCAGGGTCCCATCCCACTCTAAAGTGCTGCGCGATGTCTCCTCAGAGGGACTCCGGACTCCTGCCCTGCTTACTAACCCATGGTCTGCTCAGGCCAGGAATAAAAACCAGCAATCCTGAGAGCCAGTCCTCTGGCTCATGCCTCCGCCCAAATCCAAGACTGACGCCCAGGCCCAGCTCCGCTTGCTTCACAAGAGAACACACGCTCCCTCGGCGCCAGAGCAGAGCCGCAATGCATCCTCGCTAATCACCCGGGTCTAATTGCTGTGCCACGGTCCTAACAGGCAGCTCCTACGGCAGCTCTCCAGGGGATTAACATTAAGCCTCTGCTTTGTATACTAATGCAGCACGTGAGGAAAAGCAGTTCCCACCCTGTGTGCCCACAGCACGTGAGCCACGCAGGCCGGTCACCCGCATGTCTGTGGGCCATGGCAGCACTTGGATGCCAGCACCCCAGCAGGGCCAGCCTGGGGCAGCAGCAGACCAGATGGCAGTGGGAGGCTGGCATCCGTGGGCTGTAGGCAGAAGAAATGCTCTGCCCCGCTCCCCGTGCCCAGTGCCAGGGACGAGGGAGGCTGAGGAGCTGTTACAGTGCTCTTGCAGCATGAAAGTTCCCAGCTTGCAGCAGGGGAGCAGGAACAGGACTAATGGAAGGGAAGAAGCCCTTGTAGTCTGCCCACGACATCCCTGCGTTTGGTCCTCTCTACCTGCTGACGAGGCTCAGGCTTCCCCAGCACCCCCCTTCTTGGGCACCCTAAGGAAGGGCACAGGGATCCCCAACGCCGAGGGCCATTCCCTAAAGGCGCGTGATGCGACTGCTGTTCCCCTGGGCTCAGAGAAGGGGGACAGGAAAGCTATATGCCAGCACTTTTGAGAACAGCCAGGCTCTGCTGGAAGCAGAAAGGCTGCCCATCAGCTGGCAGCTATGCTGAAAAACAGATCTGAATCACCACCAGCTTACAGCACGTATCTGAAAACATCGGTGACCCACTTTGGAAAAATCAAGCGTATACGTCCCGCGACAGCTGGCACCACCTCTGCATCCCTGCCCAGCTCCGTTCCGGCATGGAAAGGACTGGCCAGATGGGAAAGCAGAGAAGTCAGCTCAACTCCCTTGCCCTGGCAGCCTCCATGGCCCAAACTCTCTTCTCATGCTCCTCGATTTTGTTCCTAGGTGCGGTTCACCTAATGTCAGTCATTCCTCCCCTGTGCTGGAGCAGCAAGAGAATCAGACACAGTGAGGGTCTCCCCTCGGCGAGAGAGGAACATGCAGTGCTTGGCTGGGCTGTACAACAGGGAAAAAAACAGTCACAAAGAACGGCTCGCGCTTTCTCAAAAGAAGCAGTTTCACTTCCCCTACAAGCAGTGGCTCCAAATAACAAGATGCCTTGAGTAATTAACTGAATGTTCTTTGGATAGAGCTTGTAAAAGGAGCTTATACATATTAAACAAGAAAGAAAGATCTACTGTCTATAACTTGTTCTTTACTAACAAACAAAAGGCTTGGACTGAATGCATTTTAGAGCAAACTTTACAAGGACCTTACGCTGAAATTATTCAATAGAAAGAACTGAACAAAGTCCAGGGCATTTGTGAGGGGCTGACCGCAAAAAGCAAGGTTTGTGGTCCGTTTGTTTGTTTTTTTAAGAAAATCAAATACTCCCTCTTTTTTGGCATTAACATGACAGAGCTGTAAAGGCTTTGCAGTAGCACTGCATTAGTCTCCAAGAAACACACAAAACAACTGCTCCCTTAGCTAGATCAGCTGCTAGAGCAAGTGTTATAGTTGCCATTATCAGAGCTGAAAGTGGAAATTCATAATGCACTGAAGGACAAAAGATCTTCTCTGTAACAAGGGCCTGTACAGTGCTAGGTGCTGGGACTGCAGTATCTCTGCATCCTGACATATGCTTGCCCAGCGTAGCCTGCTGTTGCATCAGGAGAAGTAATACTTTGGTAGTAAAGCGAAACAATTCTACTCTATGAATCGCTATTTTTTACTTGCAACAAGAACCAAAAGCCAATGTTCTACAGTCAAGATAAGGTAATCACAGCAACATGGAGCTCTTCTAGGTAGAAACACAACAGCTACTCAGCATCAGCATTACTATGTCAGACTCGGATGCTCCACTGTATTTGGAATATATTGCAATAGCAGGCAGTTAATACTGCTGTATGGTCTGTGAAAAATGGTATGTAAAGGAAATATGGGGAAAATGTTGTAATTATTTAAATGGGTTTGTTTTGATACCACCAGAAAAAAACCTGCCTGAGTAAACCAGTATTTAGCCCTTTATCTTTACAAATGGCCTTTAAAGAATAAAAGAGCTGCTGCCCTCCTGTGCCTCTGCCCTGAATCTGGTATTATATTCATGTGGGAGCAGGCAAAAGCAGCCATGTCATGTAGCAGCAAGAGGCACCAGGAAAGCCTTGGGAGGCCAGCAGAGGCAGAGCTCACCAACTCCCATCCCCCAAACAACCCAGCCCAAGAAAACCCAAAGGGGACATCTCCACACACAACTGCATGAGGTGACTACTACGATCCTGCAATTCAGTGTGCTAGCTGAACACACCTAGTTTGGCCAGTAAACCGTTAAAAGCTGCTGCATTCTTCTACTAACCAGAGAAAGCTTTGATGATGTGACCTTTCCCAGCTGTTGGTAACTGGCTCAGTACAAAAGGTCAGGCTGGGAGTTATCCACAACACAGGGCTTTCCATACTCCTGGCAGACTGTCTCATGCCAGCTATTCTGGAAACCAACTCAAGCACAAGTGGTATATGACCTGGGAAGACACAGAGACAAATTGGCTGCCACAGAGAGAAGAGCAATCGGAGGTTGGAGGACCAGGCTCGCTTTTGAGTCCAATTCCTGCTCTGGCAAATGACCTCTTTCTCACAACAGCCTTCAGAAGGGTCCAGCTACTTCAGAGACCCAGCGCTCTAACATTCTTGCTTACCAGCTGCCTAAACTCACATATGTCTGTGTTTCTAAAGTTACAGTCTCGGGAGACCTAGAAAAAGATTTTCTGAATATACTGGGAAGCACATCAGTCTTAACACTGCAGAGCAACCTAGTGTCTATTTCATGCCTAAGCCTCTCATATTCAAGAAGTTGGTTTGTCTCTTCCAGAGACGAGCAATGTGACAAAATTATTTCCTGCTCACCTATTAATATTCAGCTGTGATAGAGACAAAAGGTTTTGGCTCATGCCCTCATTTGTTCACTGAAGAGAAATAAAGATGAACCAAAATGGCTGAGCATGTTTCTTTTTTAAATTAGTAA